CATGGCTCCAAACAAGACGCCTGGAAAAGACGGACTAACCAGAGAGTTTTGGCTGGAAAATTGGCCAATCTTGGGGGACGAATATCTGGCGTTTCTGGAACAGGCATGGCAGGCAGAGGGATTGGGTCGGGACCCGACAACCGGAATCGTCACGCTAATTTACAAGAAAGGAAATCCATCGGATATTCGTGATTACAAGCCGATAACTTTGCTAACTTTGACACATAAGATAGTCGCTAAGGTGTTAGCAAACCGTCTCACGGCAATTACAGCAACTTGTTTCCATATAGATCAGACAAGGTTCATACCGGGAAGACATCTTGGATAATGTTATGACACTCACCGAAACGGTACGATACATCAGGGATAAGAAAACGAATGCCGCTATCTTGTTCTTTGACTTTGAAAAGGCCTACGACCACGTCAGCTGGCCATTCCTACAGCAATGCATGAAAAAGATGGGAGTAGGCCCGAACTTCAGGAAATGGATAAGAGTTCTTTACAATGAGGCACAAGGCAAGTGCAGGTTAATGGGCATTTATCCTCGAATTACAGGATGTCGAGGTCGGTCAGGCAAGGGGACTCCCTAGCCGCTCCGATATTCCTGTTCATAATGGAGGCAGTGGCATCCTTTTTACGTAAGGACCCATCAATCCAAAGGCTTGTGGCAGTGCCGGATAATCAGGGCCACACTATCCATCTTCCCACAGTTCTCCTCTTTGAAGACGACCTGACGGTATTGATAAGAGCGTCGGACTCAATCGTTCCTGGCATTAACGAAAGCTATGGAGGTCTTCCAGCTTGCGTCGGAAATGAAGATCAATTGGCAGAAAACAGAGGGATGTTGGTTAGTGGATCAGGACCAAGAGAACAACCCCCCTACTAACAGTTCGGAGGGGTTGAGATGGACAACAACGCTAGTTCCCATTAGATATTTAGGGATTAAGATTACTGAGACAGGGGCATATCAGTCGATGGCGGCAAATCTAATGGCAAAAGTTCTATCTAAGATGGGATCTTGGTCGGCAGTCTACACTTCCATTTATGGGAGAGCCCTCATACTCAATGCCTCCATCTTCTCCATATTAAGGTATGTAGGGTCAATATGGACACCACCGGGAACTACGACAACTTTATTGAGACGAAGAGCGTCTGCGTACCTTTGGACATCCAAAGATAACAATTCAAACTTCATATCTAAGTGGCATGGAAACATGTCACTACACCAAAGCACTAGGGAGAGCGGGGTATTCTAGACTCAGACACCCAACTTAAAGCACTACAAACCAAGTGGGTAACTAGGCTGATAGCCCAGCACAAGCTACCATGGTCCTGTCTGGTGATGCACAGGATAAGACAAATGGCTAAATATAAAACGCCCCACAATATGCCGGGTTTGTTTTGGGTAATGTGCAGCAATTGGGCTAGGGTAGGTAGAAGGGAGCGGAGCAATGAGGAGGAGGACGACGACGCTACGAGGATATCCTATGGGGACACCTGCTGAAGTTATGGAAGGATATCTTCCCAGCAAAAGTTAAGGAGCCTAACACGAGAGAAGAAGTACTTAGACAACCTTTATTCTGCAACCCAAGTATTAAGGACGCACAGGGGAAGCCGCTGACGCTGTCGGTAAAGGATGCGAAGTGGGGAAGGTGGCTGGAGCACGAGGTTTGGCAGGTAAAGCACATTTGGGAAGAAAGGGAAGGAAGATGGAAAACTGTCGGAGAACTGAGGACACACTTAAAAGGATGCCACAGATTAGCTGACAACCATGAGGTCATACTGGGAGCTATACCGCAAAGATGGCTGCAACTGATACAGAGAGGTATACAGTGGGATCAAGGAGACTGGGCCACATGGGGTGATGATAACGAACCTAAGGAAGTCTTCAGGGTCTGGAACCAAGATATTTCAAGGCAGGAATGGCTGCATGCAGACAAGTATGACATACTCCATCCTCCCAACACTACTTCTCTCTTGGACATGGCATCCAAAGCACCGATCGTCATCCTCAAACAGTACCTGCGGAAGGTCAGAGTAGTGGAGACAGATGAATACACAATATTCAATCCATCTATACCGCTTGAAGATTTGTGAGTGGATCCAGCAGAATGGGCCTGGAATATAAGAAGCGGAGAAATAGGTGCAGCAAGAAGAATCAGCATCCTGCACTATACCACTAGAATCGGGTATAGATTGAGGAGGTGATCTCACGCGCTTACGCCGAATTTGCTCAAGCGTTGGGAAAGGAGAGTAGGGGTTCCCCGTAATCACTTGGTTAAAATACCATGGTCAAGCATTGCTGGCATACGTCTGGGTCCAGTCAGAAGCATGCAGTGGCTAATAGCTCATGTGGCACTTCCTGTTAATGTATGGTTGGATGAGCGAAGAAGCTTGAGGCAGAGAAATCCGGAGAGCGCAACATGCAGAGTGCGTCAAGGGGGATTCCCTGAAACAATGCAACACTGCCTCATAGAATGTGTGGAAGCAATCAGGATATGGGGAGAAGCAAGGATCATATGGGGACAGATGTCAAGTGCCACATTCCCTGAATCCAAAATCTCTCTTTTGTTGGGTCTCAACATTCCGAAACATTGGCAGCCTTTTGAGAAGAACATGTTCAAATTGATACGCCAATACTGTCTCTGGACCATTTGGAAGCGCYGGTGCCAAATTACTATTGAAGGGCGGCCAATGCACAAACAGGAAGCAAGGGAGATATTTCTCACATTGATTGAAACAGATCTGAGGGCTCAGTGGAAAGCAGTAAGGAAGCAAATACGTTTCCAACCGGTGCAGGAGGAAGAGATAACAAAACGCTTCAAACACAACATCCTGGGGCAAGGAGCGGTGGCAACTATAAATGGCAGTAATTTAAGGTTCAAATGGAGGGGGGGGTAGAAGGGTGCAAAGGAATATAAGTCAAGGGGTTAGGGTAAAAAACAGAAAGGGAGCAGAAAAGGGGATCGCCAAAAGAGTCAACGAACGCAGTCGGCAGATATTCGGGTCAGAGGAGGTATATTAGAGTGGGAGTTCCATTACGGGGAGCAGGGAGGGTTTAGGATTTAAGGGCAGTAGCCAGTGCCGGGGATACATCAACTTAATACAAATACAGAGTACGTGGCACAGTCGGCAGACGATCAGATCAGAAGAGGATATGAGAGAGGATGTTCCGAAATGAGGAACAGGGAGGGTTTAGAATTTAGAGGCATTAGAACAGGGAGGGTTTAGAAGTTAGGGGTTAAAAAAAAAAAAAGAAACGGTTTCACCCAGTACAGACATCAGGACTCGATCCCTAGACCTACCCCGTAACCCTGTACAGTGACCCTGTATCCCTATGTGAGCCTTGAACCTGCAACCTGTCCCTTAAATGTAGGTTTGTGTGTTGTGCACTTAGTTAGGGTCGCGTGGACTTGAAC